TTATTTATTTATTTATTTTAAGGACAGCCAACAAAGCATACACCTTATCTAATATAACCTTAATACATCAAACATTATGTGGTGTTGCCTTACTTAAAGGCTGCCACGGCATGCAAATAAGTGTACTACTAATATAAGGCAAACACAATTTCAATTTTCTTTTCTCTTTTACATAAATCATGTTTAGAGTCTACAGTTCGTTTCGGATACATAGTCCAATCTATAGACTATTTATCCGAAACGAACAAGTCATGCAATACAGCTTTAAATTTACGAGGTGAATATGATATTATGTCGATGCTCCCAGAAGATGACCGTGACAGGCGGCTAAACTGCGATTGGATTCTATTGATTGTCGAAAAATGGCCCAAGTTAGTCCTAAACTCTTTTGCTCGCTCTTTTTTAATTACTTATTTAATAATATACGATTGCTTATTCCCCAGGTGCATGTAGAGAGCACCAAATCACTCGCCTGGTGCGAGGTCACGTGCCCCGAGCAGAAAAAGCTAGAAGGCATGGGCGGGAGTTGTCTTACATTCTGCCACATTACGCTGTACACCTGTTCCCTCCATTGTTCCATGCTATTGAGCATGAGATTAAGGAGAAGACTAATCGACTTGGTGAGTGATTTATGATTTCCTTTTACTAGTTAGTTGCTGGATAAACTGATTGTTCCTGAATCACATACCTTTTATGTGATAAGCTTACTAAGGCAAGTTTCTGTAATATAAGAAAGTTTTTAATGCTATTTAGGATTTAAAGTTACCACTTACCTGTCCTCCAAATAATTCACTATCTTTTGCGCCCGTATCCACAAACGATGCTTGCTTAAGTGAAGCAGCAAATTGAACGCACAGCGTTGAATAGAGCTCTGCGATTGGTTCGTGTGTCACCCTGTGAGTCCACGCGCACTGTGAGACCTCATAGTAATGTTTGTGAATACGGGCAATAGACTTCTCTTTAAAATTTTAAGACAAAATTTAGAACACCAGCGGGGTTACTCTGAAAAACCTTTATCCGTAGTTTCGAATTTGCTATCTCTCTCACGCAAAGCAAGATGCCAGCATGAGAAACGGTGACAGATAAAACCGAAACTACGTAAACAGCATTTCGGAGTAGCCCTTCAGAAGTGGCATATTAGACCCTTGACAGTTTTACAAAAATATAGACCCAACACATTGAACTGTCCCACCCGTAACATTGCAGCGGGGCACCACCCGTTCCGATTTTTGCCATGTTGGAAAAACGATGGTAGCGCCCCCTGTCAATGTAACGGGTGGGGACAGTTCAGTGTAGGTCATCTTTAAAGAATTTTGAAGTAAAAAGTAACATTAGGTCTCATTGCCTAAAAATTATGCTTCAGGTATTTATATTTATATTTTATATTTATAACCCTCCAGCAGTGGATTGTAAAGGGCTGTTGATGATGATTTAATGCTATTGTGTTATTATTATTAAAGGTATAACCAGCTACGGCGTTTCAATGACAACCCTGGAAGAAGTATTCCTAAGTCTAGAAGGAGAGAACGCAGAAGAGACAGAAACGGTGGAAGGCGTGTCTTCAGTGAAGCTTGTGAGAGCGCGGGCGCTCTCCAGGAGTCTCTCTTTGCAGAGCAAGACCTTGAGCTATCAGGTGAGGTTCCAGTTTATAATGCAAGAATGAACGATGAAGTATCACTCAATAAATATTAATGCCCGTTTTTACCCTCAATCTCTAATTTTTAAGTTACCTCTATTTAAACAAAATTCCTGTTATGGGGACCATGCCATAATGCTCGTACATAATCCCGGGCATAATGCCCGTTTTCACCATCAATGTCTAATTTTTTAGTGAACCCCTATGAAAATAAAATTCCTGTTATTTGTTACCACAGGGGTCACTTAAAAATTAGGGATTGATGGTGAAAATGGGCATAACACTTGTATTCACAAACGATGCTTGCTTAAGTAAAGCAGCAACGCTATGCGAAGTCAAAAGCACAGCATCACTCTGCCACTCAAGTATTGTCTATGAACAGGTTTTTGGGACCCTGTGCGTCCACGCGCACTGTGACAACTGTGACTGTGACACCTCATAGTAATGTTTGTGAATACAGGTGTAAGCTTGATATTAAAGCATCTGATTTTAAGGTTCTACCTACAGAGCAGTTCCACTGACAGTGTTACAGTCAAAAGTATTTTGAAGAATAGAGAAATGTCACATGAGCTGATGTTATTTCAATCAAATCTGGCGAACTTGCTAATAGAATTAACTTACTAATGGTTTATCGCCATAAACCAAAGAAGAAGAAGAACTTACTAATGAAATTGATGAAGATGTCACGTAGTGGAATTGCTCTGGCAAAATTAAAAGTATTGGAAATAATAATGGTCTCAATTATCGTCAAATTGCTTACAATTGCCGCTGCCATTTTCCATAAGTATTTTTCACAATGGCTGATGTTTGCTCCCCAATTTAATAAGCATTAACAATTACTAATATTTATCCATATTAATTTATTGAATAAAATTTTTACCCATATCATAGCACCTTTAATACCTTCATGTACAATAACCTGCACAGTTCTAACGTTCAGCTTGTGGTCTCCCGTGAACACAGAATATTTTCCAGGAACTGAACGATAAGGAGCAAAAGACGACGTCATTGCCCACACCACCGGCTTCCCATGCGCTACATTCTACCACGCATGGGGTGGAGCACGTCAAGGTACAGGTTGGTCATCATCGTTGAACCCTTAGATTCTAGAATTCCCTTTATCCAGAAGCAGAAGGCCACGCCGCTGCTTACGTCACTTGCCAGTCACGCAATTCACTTTACTACTCAGGTTCGTCATAATCGTTGAACCCTCAGATTATAGAATTCCATTAGAAACCCTTGGAGCCCTTTATCCAGGAGCAGAAGACGACGTCGCTTGCTAGACATGTGTTGTATTTCACTACACATGGGGTGGAGCGCGTCAAGCTTACAGGTTGCATCCTCAGATTATAATGGTATTAGCATGTAATAAGTCGCGGACTAGAGGTGGGCGCCGATATACAATTGGCCGGCGGCGGCGCGCCGACTTTTTGACCTCGGCGGCGGCGGCGTCGGCGGCGTGACCTTGTTTGACCTTTGTTAATTGGGTATTTTTTTAAAATCTGCTTTTTTAGTATCCGTCGTCAAGACTAATCAGGTGATTTGCAGTTGGTTGGGGTTTGAGCCACTAGAGCAGTGGTTTATCCTAGTAAATTAGCTTTCTTGATCATAGATACTTTGATATTTGGATAGCGGGTTTGGCTGAGATGAGGTTCTCGTGTATTTCCTAAGCGAGCGTACCAATGTGCCGATAAAAGTACCCTTAACATGTATTTTTGAGCTCTTTGGAGGCACATAGTTAATGTTAGATTAGCTGACTGTTAGTGCAATATAATTATTCAGTTCTGTTTATTTATATTTATGGTCTTTCTATGTTATCCTACGGTCCAGGATGTTAATGTAGGTTGATTGCAGCAATGGGTTGAGGTCTAGATTGGCCGGAGGATACGTTTCACGTCTTAAATGATAATATGGTGAGACTTCGAGGCTTAATTACATGCGCCACTTGGTCAGCCAATCAGCTGACTTTGCAACAGTCTAGTCACTTTAAGATCACAGTTACATTTGGGGAAGGCCGCAGCTTTCTGGTGTGTGGGCTACTTTACTAGTAGATGTTATAGAGTATCGGACCAAGTACAGAGTCCTGGGGTACTCCAGCTCTGCAGGTAAAAAGAGAAGATTTTGTCACCGAGTTTGATTTTAAACTGTCTGTTACTGAGATAAGAATCCATCAGCAGGTAGTAGAAGTGTGCTAAAAGGTACTTTTTAATTTCATAGAGTAGTCCTTTGTGATAAACCCAGCTGAAGCCGCAGCGAAAGCAGACGTACAGGATTCTTTCTTTTCCAAACATTGTACTGATTATGGTTGGTATGGTTTCTGCCAAAATTTATGGTCGGGTAGGTATATTACATGGGTCATACTTGCTCGTTTATTCCGTTTATTCCCTTGCCTAACAAGGGAATAAACGAGCAAGAATGATCCTTTTCCATAATTTTAACAATACAAATGTCAGATTAATTGAGCGATAAGAGAATTCGTTAGGCGACTTGCCAGTCTTATGGATCATTTCCAAAGTTAAGAGACTTGCGAGGTTCTCACTCAGTGTGGTCATTGTCAAGACCACGGACTTCATGGTGATCAAATCAAATGCAAGTGCTTTACGAGGGTTCATTTTTGCTATTTCTTTAGTTTATCCATCTCTCTTAGCGTTAGTTCTTTCGTTTCAGCCGAAAGACGTCCTGCGCCGCTCGCATCCAGGCACTTCTGCGACCTTCCCCAAATCGTCGGTCCACCTAGTGGGAGGCCTGCCCACGCTACGTCTTTCGGCTCGTGGTTGCCTGCCACTCAAGAACTTTACTGCCCCAGCGGCCATCAGCTCTACGAGATATGTGCCCCGCCCACTGCCACTTGATTTTAGCGATTCTGTGGGCTACGTCAGTCACTTTGTCCTCCTGCGTCTTTCGTCCTCAATTAGCGTAGTAGAAATCAATCTTCTACTTTGAACTTGAGGAGGGTAAGCGGAAACGTGGCGGTCAACTCCTCAGATAGTCAAGTACAAATATGTCCAGAAGCAGCATACGAAAAGATGCAAAATGGGCCCTCTCAAATCACAATGGGAAGGTTTGGCAGCACAGCACCTAGAATGGCGGGAGATTGTGTTGTGTAGAGGCGAGTCCGCGAATTCAAGGAGCAGCGCACAACTGAACCGAGGAGTTTGCCGCGAAGATCGGCTAGGTAAGTCATCTTCGGGCGCACCAGCGCCGCTAAGACAGCTAAGTCGAAGTGGTCACCATGACCGAAATCGGTCGGATGAATCAAAGGCAGGCATTATACCTGCAAGTCTCGGATCAAGTTCAATGCTTGATCTTATTTTTTTGATTGAGTTGTGGATTTTTTTGATTATCCGTGTCAATGGGTTTAAATAAACCGGCTTGTCATGTAGCAAAGGTCTGAGATTTTTCTTGTCAGTTCGCACTCATGTATTATCGGACCTAATAAGCAGAGAAAACTTTGAGGGAGGTACTTTGTTGCCTTCCAGAGGTTGTGGTTCCCATTTGCATTCCGAGACATATTTGNGCTCACCAGTTGGTGCCACTGTCTTCGCTACTAGCAAGTGACAGGACCTTACTCTACAGTGGCGCTAACTGGTGAGCGCTAAAACGATAGCCCTCATTGAGAACAATCTGAATAATTCAATCATTTTTAAAATAATGGAAGGTACTTGGTAACTAATTATTGTAGCCGCCCTAAAAGCCCTGTTAAGGTCATAGCAGACTTATCAACTCGGAAAGGGATCAACACCGTATTGCCTTTCGCGAACTGTCATCACCTTTCGCGCGCTGTCAACTCGAGGCGAGGCGTTTACGTTACGGAGCGGTGAAGTGTGCTTTGCAGTATGGAGTTTCATACAAAGAATACTGACCGCCTCAAGTTGATACTGTTACGATCCCTTTCCGGGTTGAATAAGTGTGCTACAACCAAACTGTGGAATGGACTTTCCTTTCGTTTCCGGACGGATACGACCTGCACGCTTTCAAGAGGAGAGCGTATCTTCACCTTAAAAGCCGGTAACGCACCTGTAACGCCCCTGGGTCTGCGGGTGTCTATGGGCGACGGTAATCACTTACCATCAGGTGATCCGTCTGCTCGTTTGCCTCCTGTCACATAAAAAAAAAACGTCCTTTTTCAAAAACTCAAATTGTACATACTCGTACTTACTTAAGTACTGCATTAGTAATTTTTAAATTATAGTTTTTAAGTAATTTTAAGTTAATGTATTATTGTTTAATCCTTTAAGTACTGCCATTTGGCATAGTCTTTGAAGAAAACTATCACTTAATATCTATGCCCCTTTTCCAGGGTTTTAATGTCAGCGTCAGGTCTCCTCGAAAGCTTCAAGCCGATCGAGGTGTTAGCACACCCGTTTCAACAGACGGAACAGCAGGAAGAGTTTAACGTGGGCAACGTGGTGTGCGCCATCTTTATGGGCATGATCTTCGCTCTGGTGCCGGTTACGCTGGCTGTGGATATTGTTTATGATAGGGAGGTGAGTGCAGCAGCCTTTTAGGATAGCCTATTTTTTCCAATAGTGCTGCAGTCGACAGGGACTGATCTAGCATTCTTTTGAAATTCTAGAATCGGTAGTCTGATGCCTCAACCGTTAGCCTATTGGCGCTTTGTCGCTCAGCCATTAGACTGACAACTTCCTGCAACTGGCTGCAGCTGGATAAAAAAGCTAGAGATCATACTTCGTGGTGCTCTTTAGGAAAGGTCTCATTGGCGTCTAAGAGTGGTCTGTCACTGACTGAAACGATGTTATTTTGACAATGTAGATCTCCTAGGAAAAGTATTTGAAGATAATGACATTATAGATACTGTATGGTTAGTTTTTAAGTTATTATTAAGCCTACCTAGATTAAGTTATGCTATCGCATTAGGTTTTAAGTACCTGTAAAGATAGTGATAATGTGTGTGGAAATAAATAAATAAATAAATTATATTTTCAGATAAAAGCCAAGAATCAGTTGCGGGTGAACGGGCTGTCGATGAGCATGTA